TACACCACCTCTGCTACACCCTCACTGTTATACCACCACTGTTACTCCACCACTGCTACACCACCACTGCTACACCATCACTGTTACATCACCACTGTTACACAAACACTGCTATACCCCTACTGTTACACTTCCACTGTTACACCACCACTGTTACACTCCCACTGTTACACCACCACTGCTACACCCTCACTGTTACACCATCACTGCTACCCTTCTCCCCTCCCACTGTTACACCACCACTGTTACACAAACACTGCTACACCCCCACTGTTACACAAACACTGCTACACCCCCACTGTTACACAAACACTGTAAACCCCACCTCCCCCGCCCCCACTGTTACACAAACACTGCTACCCCCTTCACTGTTACACCACCACTGTTACACCCCCACTGTTACACAAACACTGCTACACCCCTACTGTTACACCACCACTGTTACACTCCTACTGTTACACCACCACTGTTACACTCTTATTGTTACACCACCACTGCTACACCCTCACTGTTACACCACCACTGTTACACTCCTACTGTTACATCGCCACTGTTACACCACCACTGTTACACTCCTACTGTTACACTACCACTGCTACACCCTCAATGTTTCACCACCACTGTTACACAAACACTGCTACACCCCCACTGTTACACCCCCATTGTTACAAACACATTTGTACTGCATGCAACTGCCTGCTAAGACATGGACCAGTTTCAGTTCTCAGCAGAAGCATCAGTATTTATTCTGACCGGTCTGACTGGTACCGGCCTGACCGTACAACTCTGACTGGTACAGCTCTGATTGGTACAGCTATTACCAGTACAGTTCTGTCCAGTACAGCTATGACTGGTACAGCTCTGATCCTTACAGCTCTGACCGGTACAGTTCTGACCAGTACAGCTCTGACCAGCACAGTTCTGACCAGTACAGCTTTGACCAGTACAGTTCTGACCAGTAATCTGCATTAACTTCTGACCGGCTACAGCTCTGACACCTGGGAAGGAACAGATCAGTATAAGTGTTCTTAGACCTCATGCACACAGAAGAACGAAACTTTCAGAACAGCTTGACAATTGATCACCTGGGAAGGAAAAGGGATCAGGACAGAAAGTTTTCATCACTTCCCACCTGAACAGTATATTTATAAAAAATTAGCAGTAAACACAAGTGTTCTTAAAATACCATGTGGATGAGGATCACTGCAGAGGTCACAGAAACCGAATTCAACAATTGGGAGTCGCAACCCATATTGCGGCCTCCTCAAAAGAGAGTGCAAGTAAGGTAAAAATTTCGTTGAAACATCAGATTGAAGGTGAGTTCTATATAAGAAAAATGAGCGGAACAGTCCTGCAATGCTTGCTCCTTCGTGATGTTTCTACTACTTGTTGACTGCACAAACTAATTAAGACGTGAATACAAACACACACACACACATACCTTCTCTAATTTCCACAAAATCATGGGTGCAGGAGGAATGGTGCTGCAATTTCATATGGCGGAAAACAAATTTGATGGTACTGTTGGCTGTGTGACTGGAAAAGCGCCACACACACTGAAGGTTGTGAGCGTAGGTATTATTGTCAAATCCAGGGGAAGTAATGTTGCCTGGGAAGTCAGTTATGTCCCCTCCACATTCTGATTGATGATAAAACAGTATGTAATTATTATATGAGGAAGTGTAATTGACATCTCAATAACAGATGAAGTGAAACTGTAAATACTGAGTTAGAAAATTAACACACATAAAAATAAAAAAATAAAAACAGAAATCATAAACATAAACAGGGACCATCAAAATATCAACATGAAAACTAAAACGGGCACTAAAACAGTTAATATTAAAAAATCATGGAAGCTTCTTCATTGAGATGGCAGACAGGACAGAAAGATTGTCCAGGATCCAACAAGCCAACACTTTTACCTATTAACTTTCCCCAGTTCTTAAACGCCCATCAATACCAATGGAAATCAAAAGACAAATCATAAATGCAATCTGTTTACGAACATCATGTTACCAATCCTAAACCTGGGCACTAATGAAAGACCATGTGTGGTGCAATTCTGCATTATTTGAAGCCCCACCCTGGCTTTTGCCAGGGGCTTTGAATTTAGCTGGACCATAAATGTGGCCGTAACGGCAGAAAGAGGTTTCTGGGACCTCTTCAAGGGTGATCCTCATCCGCATGGTGGCACTTTGTGTCACCGGGTGTTTAAACACTTGTGTGATGTCCTGGTGGAGTACAACAAGAGAGAGAGAGAGAGAAAGAGGGGAAACTGTAGTTGCCTCCTGTGATATTCTATTCATGTAAGTAATGAATAACAATGGTGAGAGAACACATCCTTGTCTGACAGCTGAGAAGGAAAAGCAGTCTGTCATTCCTTCTGCATTGTCACTGAAGCTTTGATGTTACACAACAGTTGATCTTGAAAACCATAATCTTCTAGAAATGTCCATAGTTTGCACCTGTTGACTCGACTGAGCACCTTACTTGATCTATAAATATAAGGTGTTGACTTTTATCATATTCAATAGACTGCTTGCATATCTGCCTTAAAGAAAATATTACATCTTTTCAGCTCTTTCCCTTCCTGAAACCCAACTGTCTCTGACTTAACTGGGGCTCTAGTACTTGGAATCACTAACTGGAAACAGAAGACCAGCCAGAGAGATGAATGGAAGCAGGTGATATCTACAGCAATGAACCTCGAGGGCAGGGAATGTCGAAGAAGAAGGAGAGGATGTCAAGAAGTAAAAGTGAAGGACTCTTTCCACACCATTAGTGCATCGTGGCATATGCCTATTTTTTATTGGCCTATCGTCGGTCAATATCAATTCTAGCTGCCTTTACTTCCCAAATTTTATCTGGTACCCATGTTGAAAAGAAAATAAAGATGATACGATAGGGGTGAAGATAAGAAGATGACAAAAATGATAAGATCATGGAAAGATATCTCTATCTATCTATCTTCTTTTACCCCACCAGGACATCACACAAGCGATAAACCACCCGATGACCTAAAGTGCCACCATGTGGATGAGGATCACCCATGGAGAGGTCCTAGAAACCGTGTTCTAGCCATTAGACCATATTTATGGCCGGGCTATTTTGCGGCCCCCAGCAAGAGCCAGAGTAGGGCTTCAAATAATGAAAAATTGCAACATAAAAATGGATGACAAGGTTACAAGAAAAATATAAAGAAATGAAGAAAAGGAAACGAAGCTGCCACTAATAAGCAGAGTGATCTCAATTCTGGTGGCATATTCACATGAATATCAAAACTATTAGCTACACCCAGGAAATAGGTGAGATCTCTCACCTGCCTCTCTGTCCGATGAATATGTCGCTCGGAACCCAACATTGCTGACTGATGCATCCGTGTAGAACAGAACTCTCATGGTATTGCCAGATGATTCAACAGTTTGTGTTGGAGTTGTCTCCCCACAGAATCGACTCAGGCTCGGCGAGTCAACCAGATACCCATTAATAACCTGTAGTAAAAGTCAGCTTGTAGCTAAAATATGCAGAGGCTGCCACTATATGCATGGGTAAAAGATTTTTAAAAAAAAAAGGAAAGATTCATTTTCACGCCTTTAGGTGCTTTGGGCCTACGGGAAGAGCACCCATATTTCTACAGACCAATCAGCAATAGGTGGGTCTTGGTCAGCATTACGCTGGCAGTCTTTACTTCCGAAGGACATACATCCTGGTACCTATTTTAGGCTGGGTCAACCTGCGACGCCCAATACCGCGATAAAAATCCACGCAGCCAACAGTGGGTTTCGATCGCGGTACATTGGAATTAAGTGTCGGACTCCCAACGCCTAGGCCATGGATATCGGCATGGGTAGGCCCACCATATAGAGGAAAACACTTGAGTCAGTTTAAAACTCCTGTGGTAATACTATATAATAATCAAATAGATATTACTGTATAATAATTTAACTACACTTTAAACACTTTTGTTTTGAAATCTCTTTAGATATTTTTAAAAAAAGTAGTTATCAACAAACAAAAAAAAGATGAAGCATTAAATGGTTTCAATTTCCTGAGGACTATAACAAAAATGTATCAGGCTGTGACCCCGTGACCTCTATCGCTCAGGCTTACAGGAACATTTTAAGTTAACCTGTATGTTTACCCCCCCCCCCCCCCCCCCCCCCCCCCCCCCAAAAAAAAACCTATTAGATTTGCAAAGAAATGCTATATTTAATTAATATATTCATATCCAGGCCTCCTAAACACTATATAGGTGTAATGATCCATGTTTTACCATAGCGAAAGAAGTTTTATTGTAAGGAAAACACCTGCTTAGCATAAGGGGCAGAGTTGAGAAAAGCTTAAGCTAAAATTGATAATCACGTGTTTAACATGTTTCTTATAAAACATGAGGATAAGAAAGTAATGTTAGAGTTATTTATGCAAACTGAACACATGAGACTAAGGGTCAAAGAATCAGAAGTCCACCTGTGCTTGGTGCTGGAAGTATGAATGAGTGAAAGTCAGTAAGTCAGAGGAAAGTTACTGCAATAGATAAACAGAGAACCAATGGAATTTAACTTTTAGAGAACAAGTTACTGCAGAAATGGTGATAAACTGGCATTTACAGGGCTGTGTCAAAACCAAAGGCGACTACATTTAGCCCCAGGCCATTCCCAAAAGTAGGGAATATGTGAATATATGGAGGTTGTTGGGGACAACTTACTTTACTTCAACATAATCTGACTGGTAGAAATATGAGGCAGGTCACTCAAATAGTGTGTAGCTAAATATCAGCATTACCCTCCTACCCTATACATAGATGATGTGATTAAACAAATCTGACTGGTACTATGAGGCAACATAAAATAGTGACTGACTAAATAAGCATCCCTCCTACCCTATACATGCATGATGTGCCTCCATTCATAGATAATCGACTGAATGTAAGGCAGCGTGTACCTAGACTCCAACCCTCCTACCCTATCTATACATAGATGATGTGACAAACAACTTACTTCAACATAATCTGATTTACATAAATCTGATGAAGGCGCTTCCAGTCGTAGATCGCTGAATGTCAGTGTGACCCTCCTACCCTCAGGAACAGTGATATCCCAAGTACAGGACCGGCTGTGGGGGTACCGATTGGGGTAATTCGGGGATGTGATCACACCAGTTGGGGTATTCAACTGTCCCCCACATTCTGCAACAAGCACATGAAAGAAATACTGAACTACTTTATTCTTTTTTTTTTTTGCAACAGTCAGGCTAACATTTGCTGGCATATGCTATAAATTGGATGAAACTTCCATAATTGAAAGATTAAGTACTGCTGAAGTGTTTGTGCTTTCACTCATTTTAGACTCAGTCTTTCTCAGCAGATGTCAACAAAGAATCAAGTTGGCTGAACCTCCATAAAGCTATTACAAATACACTGAATAAATCAATAAAAAATATAAAACAGAATGGGTCTGGATTTTGTGGTTGCAGATGAACCTTTAACATCCTGTCTGTGACTTGGTGCTTTTATATTAAACCTTTCTTCTACTGTTGAATTATTCACGGGCTGATGCTGAAGTCTAAAATACTGCATATTACCATAACATTCAGTTCTTGAATATTTCTTTGTTGTCCCCACACGTATGTGCATAAGGTACTGTTAGAAAGGATTTCAAATGACATTTTAAGTCTAGTTTATTCAAGCAACTTAAGTATTGATGACACATACTCCACTGGCTTCTGTACTTGGTGTGGAGTGGGAGTTTTATAGTATAGTCTACAACATAGATAATACTCCTTTACTTGGAGAGGGCTAGGAGTTTTACAGTACAGTCTTCTATTTAGGTAATACTTCTTAACTTGGAGAGGGGTGGGAGTTTTACAGTACAGTCTTCTATTTAGGTAATACTTCTTAACTTGGAGAGGGCTAGGAGTTTTACAGTACAGTCTTCTATTAAGGTAATACTTCTTAATTTGGAGAGGGGTGGGAGTTTTACAGTATAGTTTTCTATTTAGGTAATACTTTTTTACTTGGCAGGAAAACAGCTACTAGCCTCACTACGATTGGATGGAGGAAGCTTTTTTTTTTAGGTGACCTTATCCTCAGCCATTAGGACTCTTTTAGAGGCCTTCCAACCAACCAACCATCCTCAAAAACCAACACAAGTGCCTCACTGTATACTCTAAGGAAGTTGTAGGCATCTTTCAACATGTGAAGTACTTCTTTTCTGGCAGTGCTAAGTTTTTGTGTGATTTCCTTTCATTTAAAGTTCCTGAAGCAGATGACTAAATCAAAACTGTTACTGACTCATGTTTACTTCTACTTTAATGATTAATGGAACATAAACATCATATCTCTCAGTACAATTGCAAAGATGCTCTGTCTCCCTCAGCTCTATTAAAGAAGAATGATTTGGTGTCAGCAATTGCCCGAGATCAACCGGAAAGCACCAATTTTAGCACACTTGATCCTTGCCTTAAATGACCACTTTCTTTCTATCTCACTCTCTCTCTATTTATATATCTGTCTCTGTCTCTCTCTCTCTCTCTGTCTGTCTCTCTCTCTCTCTCTCTCTCTCTCTCTCTCTCCCCTCGCCCTATGTATGACGATTACAACAAAAACCAACGTACCTTCAACGCTGACTTGGAACACAAGGCGGAAACCAAGATCTGTCCCGGATCTGTCAGATCTGAATCTAATGAAAGCCACACTGTCAGAGGTTTGAATTGGTTGTTCAAAATTACTACTGCATTCTCTAAATATAATTCTGCCTGCAGCATTTCCATCTCGGATCTCCAGAAAGTCTGCTGTGCAATTTGTTGTTGACTGGATGTGGAAATCTGGGATGGTGATACTCAGGAAGTGACCAACTGGGCCAGCAATGCTCCACTCACAGTCAAGGTTGTTGCCATATTTGTCAGGGTAGTTTGGACTCATGATAACCCCATTGGCTGCTGTGATACGGCCTCCACAGGTTGCTAGGCAGAAAGGAAGCAGATTTATGTAAATTTATTTCTCAGTTGCAAGGTTAGACAATTATAAAATAATTGGAAATAGGTTTCTGAAAATGTATTTGTCAAATAGAATAGTAGTTTCTACTACATATATGGCAGTTTTGGAGGATAAATAGAGGATGGGAGAATACAATTCTCTTTTACTGTCCTTGAGTGAAGTGATTCAATGGACTTGTTTATATTTATGTCTGATCTGCACTATCTGTAAGCTCCAGTGGAAAGTTCTGGTTGTTCATCCATGTGGCTTTGTGCCAGAACCTGAGTTTTGAGTGCACATCCAGTTTTACTGGCTTATTTGTGTGCAGTTGGTTATTCCTTGCCACTCAGGCAGATGCACTCTGACTTCAAAGGAAGCCCCAGTTTGTTAACTCCTACAACATGCTTGCTGGGGAGACAGGGGTCTATTATTGTATTCCCCATAATGGGACCCCAAAACCCACAAGGGGCAGTAATATTGAATGGCACTCTAGATAATGTAACTCTCAGCTGATAAATTTCTAACTCCTATTGAAGCGAGGCCATAGAAATAAAACACAGCTCACAGAAGTAGAGACAAGAGGTCACACAAGACAATTTAAAAAAAAGCGCTATAGACAGTATTAATTATCAGGGTTTTAATTTGCTACCTTCAAATAAAAATTATTTCTTCTTTCCCTCCTCTTCTTCACTTCCTCTTTTACCGCTTCAGGTTTCGGGAGAGACATAAGGTTTTATTCCTTGTTCTTCTGGCCACCTCGACCATAGATACATTGTACTGTTGTAGAGTTTCTCTGATGTTATCTTCCCATACTGTTCTTAGTCTACCTCATGCTCGATGTCCTTATCCTTTTTTATTGTATGCCTTGTATGGTGTTGCACCGCAAGGTATTCTCTCTAAGTGGGAAAACTAAATAACTTGATATCTTGTATGTAATTTATTATTATTTTTTGTTAACAACTTATGACCTCATTTCTAATTTTCATACATTTCACTTCCATCGTTACTATAGTCCTGAGAAATCTGTAACTCTGTAACCATCTGGTGTAAATTGCAATAATTTGGCATCAACCTCTTGATAATCATGTCCTTTTCGTAAAATATTTATAATATAAACAAACATCTAGTTTTTATTTGTGCTATATGAAAAAAAAAAAGGCACCAATACAAAACAGACATTAGCATGTTTATAGTAACTGGCTTGAGTCGATGATAGCAAAACATAAAATTGCACATGTTTTTGAGGTAATCCATGCGCGAAACTAAGGTATGTATGTTTTAATAGTGAAGTGGATTGTTGGCTCACAAAAAACTGTACACTTTATGTCAATTACTGTATTTAAAAAAATATTTATTATTAGTCCGACAAAGATCAAAGAAATTCGCTGCTGTTAAAAAAAAAAAAAAAAAGCAGCACCTGTGGAATTGTAAATTATAAAGTCATCAGCAAAACACGCATTTAATGTTGATCCAAACAAGAGTTTTCAAGGTGTTTGTTTCAGTCTGAAGGCATAAATTTTAAAACAGATTAAAATTTTCTGTTGTGGTTTATTGTGAGCGACCATGTCTGGCACTGGTAGCATAGAGTCACCATTAATGAAATGCTTTAATATACCAGGCCTAGCCGAGAGAGTAGATGTTCTGTGTGTCTGGTTATTCATCTATGTCTGGCACTGGGAGCATTGAGTCACAATTAATGAAATGCTTTAATATACCAGGCCCAGGAGAGAGGGTAGATGTTCTGTGTGTCTGGTTGTTTATCTATGTCTGGCTGGCACTTGAGTGGAAGCATTGAGTACCACCCAGGAGATGAAATGATGTTCTTTAATATATCTATGTCCAGGCCCAGGAGAGAGGCCCAGAGAGAGGGTATGTTCTGTGTGTCTGGTTGTTCATCTATGTCTGGCACTGTGAGCACTGAGTGACCATTAATGAAATGCTTTAATATACCAGGCCCAGGAGAGAGGGTAGATGTTCTGTGTGTCTGTTGTTCCTGGCACTGTGCACTGAGTGACCACTGTGAGCACTGAGTGACCATTAACTGAAATGCTTTAAATGCTTTAATATACCAGGCCCAGGAGAGAGAGAGTAGATGTTCTGTGTGTCTGGTTGTTCATCTATGTCTGGCACTGGGAGCACTGAGTGACCATTAATGAAATGCTTTAATATACCAGGCCCAGGAGAGAGAGGTAGATGTTCTGTGTGTCTGGTTGTTCATCTATGTCTGGCACTGTGAGCACTGAGTGACCATTAATGAAATGCTTTAATATACCAGGCCCAGGAGAGAGAGTAGATGTTCTGTGTGTCTGGTTGTTTATCTATGTCTGGCACTGGGGGCACTAAGAGTGACCATTAATGAAATGCTTTAATATACCAGGCCCAGGAGAGAGAGAGTAGATGTTCTGTGTGTCTGGTTGTTCATCTATGTCTGGCACTAGGAGCATTGAGTTACCATTAATGAAATGCTTGTTCAATGTCCTGCACTAATATACCAGGCCCAGGAGAGAGAGAGTAGATGTTCTGTGTGTCTGGTTGTTCATCTATGTCTGGCACTGTGAGCACTGAGTGACCATTAATGAAATGCTTTAATATACCAGGCCCAGGAGAGAGAGAGTAGATGTTCTGTGTGTCTGGTTGTTCATCTATGTCTGGCACTGTGAGCACTGAGTGACCATTAATGAAATGCTTTAATATACCAGGCAAAGGAGAGAGGGTAGATGTTCTGTGTGTCTGGTTGTTCATCTATGTCTGATGTAACTAAAAATATCCTTGACCACAGCTTGAGGTATATGGGGTCAATCCCATGTATAGACAAGACAACATTCAATGGGGGATATTAACATCATACTGGTTGTTGTTATGTGTGATCTGTCCCAGGCATCATATGCTTGCCAAGTGTCTAGAGAATTTTTTTTTAGGTTTGGCCATATATACACAAAGTTCTCTAATCAACAACGTACTACAAACACTAGAACCATAATGTCAACACAGACAGAATTTCTAAGTCTAAATCAATGATCCAACAAACCCATTATACAATTCACAGGAGCTCCAACAGAATAAAAACACCTTCTTAAAACACACTGGCCTGGAACAAAATATGCTCAAACACGTCCACACACAAAGATTTCCCAAGAGACACTGAGGGCACACACTGAAACAACCATGGTACTTTTCACCCCTGCAGTCAGCCACACATGGATCCCATTTTCTCACCAACACTCGGGATTCACAACCCTCGTGCTATCAACCCACTAATCACACAATAAACACGATTTCCCCAAGTTTGTCATAAACTTTGAGTGACACATGTTTTCCCTGGTGGCTCAAGATCCAGTGCCTTCCAGTGACGCCCAAATGTTTACATTCTCAGCCTGTCAACACACAGCCCTGGCTTCACTAACTCTTTATATACTTGAATAGCAAAGTGAGTTTAGTACACGACAGTTGCCTGTATTTCCCAGTATATTTCTAGGCACCCACTTTATGTTGAAGCTATGCCGGGACCTAGGTAACTTCATTAACACATGCCCGCATTGAGGGGGTGAACCAAACACATGACCACTGGCCAGGCAGCAGGCAGATATACATTTTAAAGGTATATGGTGCTATGAAAATAGCCAAACAAAAATTCATATTTCTTCTGATTTATCTACATTCATCTACAAGCATAAAACCTGCTTCACTTATCACCCATTACCAATGTAATACCTATTCATTGTTTTACAAACCTACCAATGTAATACCTATTCACTGTATTACAGACCTACAATGTAATACTTATTCACTGTGTTACCGAACAACCAATGTAATACCTATTCACTGAGTTACTGATCTACCAATGTAATACCAATTCACTGTGTTACAGACATACCAATATAATACCTATTCACTGAGTTACAGATCTGTCAATGTAATACTAATTCACTGAGTTACAGATCTACCAATGTAATACCTATTCACTGTGTTACAGACATACCAATGTAATACCTATTCACTGGGTTACAGATCTACCAATATAATACCTATTCACTGAGTTACAGATCTGTCAATGTAATACTAATTCACTGAGTTACAGATCTACCAATGTAATACCTATTCACCGAGTTACAGATCTACCAATGTAATACCTATTCACTGTGTTACAGACATACCAATGTAATACATATTCACTGTGTTACAGACATACCAATGTAATACCAATTCACTGTGTTACAGACATACCAATTGAATATCTGGCCTTAAATCCTGCATGAGTCCCATTGGAATTTGTGCGAAACCTGGCCAACATGAAATTGCCTGTAGAGGAAACTGTCGCGGGTAAACTGTTTCCACAGAGAGGTTGTCCGATTCTTCTTGCATTTGATGTGCCACCATCGTGGAATTCAAGGTAATCCAGATTACACCTGAAAACACACACATAAAGCAAAACATCTTTTTATTGTGTACTTCTGGCTGGCAGATACATCATCTATGTAATCCAGGAGACAATGTCAGGCCAAGTGTCAGACCCATGGCCGAGAAAATTACTCTGAAACCCTAATCCTCTATAAATCCTTCTCCTAAGGACAGCCCACACTCCTTCCAGTTGTCCACCCTTTGTTGGAAGCATTTAAGAAAGGCTTCTTTGGAAGCAAAGTTTTGCTTGACCATTGAGTTCACTTTATGTCTTCTTGGGATTCCAGTAGTGTCCCTGTAACCTTTAACTAACTATCCCACAGCCATTCAGTCCCTCAGCACGTACATCCATTGTGTTCAGTTCTTGTCTTCTTGGGATTCCTGTAGTTACCCTGTAACCTTTAACTGACTATCCCACAACCAGTCAGCCTCTCAGCACATAGATCCATTGTGTTTAGTTTATGTCTTCTTGGGATTCTAATAGTGTCCCTGTAACCTTTAATTGACTATCCCACAACCATTCAGTCCCTCAGCACATAGATCCATTGTGTTCAGTTTATGTCTTCTTGGGATTCAAGTAGTGTCCCTGTAACCTTTCCAATGCAAGGGGGCTTCAAATTAAAACTTAATAGTGTGGTAGAAACTATAGTCACAATGCCACTGTCTGGCAGCCTATCAGTATTTTTGTTAAGGATGTCAAGAGTGTTAAGAACATGACATCAGGGTGCAGACAAGCAATGATGGTATAATGATTACATTTTGAGGCAATACAAAACACCAAAGAAAATATTACAATGAAAATACTAGCCAAAAGAGGAAGAAGGAGAAAAATAACAACATTTATCAGACAGGTCTACCAGTGAAGAGGTATGTGAAAGTAAGGAGAGTGACCATCAAATACATCACCCAACATGGAATATAACAGAACAAACTTACGAGGTATTTGCTTCTATGCTGAAGTTTCCCTCAAAGTCCACCTGGATTCTCTTGGTAGCTGGAGCCACAATTTGCCAGACACAGTCGACATTGTGGGGGTAGTTCTCTGGGTAGTTGGGGGAGGTGAAATATCTGCAGGAGGGAAGGTGGGGCATATTGAAAATGTGAGAATGTGAAAAAATAGGAATATAGAGAATTTTGTATAAACAGAATGAATATGTGAATTAAAAGCAAGTGGGAACACAGAAAATGATGAGGTAACTGAATAAACATATGAATAAAGAACAATTGAGAACACAGAACATGATGAGGTAACAGAATAAATATATGAATAAAGAACAATTGAGAACAGAGAACATGATGAGGTAACAGAATATATGAATAAAGAACAATTGAGAACACAGAACATGATGAGGTAACAGAATAAATATATGAATAAAGAACAATTGAGAACACAGAACATGATGAGGTAAGAGAATAAATATATGAATGAAGAACAATTGACAAAACAGAACATGATGGGTGGGAAATAAATTGTTTGAATGTTATAAATAATAAATATTTATCACTAGATGCAGCCATAATTTGCCAGACACCGCCGACATCATTGGAGTAGCTCTCTGGATAGTTTAGGGAGGTAAAATTTATAGACCACTTGGTGGTGAATTGATGTATGACAAGCTAGAATGTGGGAGTGCCCTCTCGGAGCAAGCGAACGGTGTGAAAGAGCAAATAGATAATTACTTTCTGAGGAGAATAGCACTGCGAGGAGTAACCAGGGGATCTGGCTGACGCTCAACACTTAAGGGAAAGGCGAGATGGATATACAAATCAGACGGTTACTGGTGATATCGGAATTGTAACTCTTCATTTGCTGCTGAAGATGGGGATGGAGCGCTTATGCGGGTGTACCGATGTTATGATGTCAATTCTTCATTCCACATTTAACAATATAAGTAATAAGTATACTAATATTCAAATACAGACAAGTAATCTACATATGCACTTAGGAAAAATGGAGCATCTACATCTATAGGCTGACTTTATATGCTTTAATGCCAATTCTTAATTAACCATTGAAGCAAAAGTGGAAACAGGTGGTACAAAGTTTTATAAGTTTTAATAATTAAGATGCATATAAGGGGTGAAGGAATCAAACAGAGCAGGAAGAGGTAATATGAACAAAAGAAATAGGGATATAAAAAAAAAAAGAAATTTTTGAAAGGCAAGAAGATCAACTTTATTGCATTGAGTTTTATCCATTAGGGCTCAGTCTCCTCCAAGGATCTTGGAAACACAAGAACTCACAAACTGAGGGCAGAGGACAAAACTGAATCCTAATCTTACAGAGCACAAGACAAAGAGGATGTAAAAACAAGGAGTTGAAAATGAAGAAGATAATGACATATGATGATAAACATAAGATCAAGACATATGATGATAAACATAAGATCAAGACATATGATGATAAACATAAGATCAAGACATATGACGATAAACATAAGATCAAGACATATGATGATAAACATAAGATCATTGAAGATCACAACCACTGGTGAACTTGGAAATATAAACAAGAAATGCTAACCCTGAAGTTACGGTCTCTGTCAGTCTGAGTCCACCTCCACATGCCAGCGAGACTGTTGAATAGATCAGGGAGAACCCTATCTCCTGCTGTGATCCATCAGAAACAAAATTAGCAAACAGGAAATTGCTGGAAGTCTCCATTCTTTGAGGTTTGGAACTCCCACAGTAGCGCCCATTTGCATTTGTGCTTCCATTATAAATCAACGGAGGTGACTGGCTGGAGAATCCATTCAGCAGCTGTAATAGATAAATCCACAAAACAAATGGTGTGAATCCCGTGTTGGTTCCGGGGCCCTATTTTAAGAAAAACAAGAATAGACCCACTGCCTACCCAAAAGCATGTCGTAAGAGTCAACTAATTGGGAGCTTCCTTCGAAGTTGGAGTGCATCTGCCCGAGAGGCAAGGAACCAACAGTCTGCACACAAATGTTTCAGAACTGTCAAACAGATGCACACGCAAAACCCAGGTTTTGGAACAGGACTGCAGTCCAGAAGTGGACGAACAACCAAAACTTTCCACTAGAGTTTACAGCTGGTGAACGCAAAGAAGAAGAAGAAAAAATGGTGTGAGATCTCAGTGTCTGATTCTTTTCTATTTCTATGAATGTTTCCTTTTACTTGAAAGCATGTATCCCTAAAAAGAAATAGAAATCTCATAGGGACATAATGGGGATTTGAACCTAAACCTACATAACATACATAACAGAACTCTTGGCCAGGATCCTAAAGGTGTATCGATGGAAGCACTAGCACATAAAACCTGCCATCTTTCTCTGTCTTCTGCTTGATGAATAAGTGAATGATAACTTAGTCCTGTCCATTTCTTGATGACAGTCAGTGTTCCGTGAAGTACAGCCTCTGCAATCAAAATCATGTCTCACCACATGCCTGAACCAAGCTATCTTGTGACGTTTCACAACTGCCAAGAGAGGCTTCTGATGTCCTGCAAATGTGTATATTTTGACACTTTGTAAGGGTACTAGCTACTGTGTGATTAAAGATATAAACAAAGAATGACTCACCATCAAATAATCATGCTCACACTCAGTGTGACCACATATTCCAACAAAGAATGACTCACCATCAAATAATCATGCTCACACTCAGTTTGACCACATATCCCAACAAAGAATGACTCACCATCAAATAATCATGTTCCCGCTTAACCACTGTGTGACCACAGACCACAACAAATAATGACTCACCATCAAATAATCATGTTCACACTCACCACTCTGTGACCAAAGATATAAACAAAGAATGACTCACCCTTAAATAATCATGCTCATACTTAGTGTGACTACATATCCCAACAAAGAATGACTCACCATCAAATAATCATGTTCACACTCACCACTGTGTGACCACGGATCAAAAGAATGACTCACCATCAAATAATCATGTTCCCGCTCAACCACTGTGGGACCACAGACCACAACAAATAATGACTCACCATCAAATAATCATGTTCACACTCACCACTCTGTGACCAAAGATATAAACAAAGAATGACTCACCCTTAAATAATCATGCTCATACTTAGTGTGACTACATATCCCAACAAAGAATGACTCACCATCAAATAATCATGCTCACACTCGCCACTCTGTGACTACAGATCCCAACAAAGAATGACTCACCATCAAATAATCATGTTCCCGCTTAACCACTGTGTGACCACAGACCACAACAAATAATGACTCATCATCAAATAATCATGTTCACACTCACCACTATGTGACCAAAGATATAAACAAAGAATGACTCACCCTTAAATAATCATGCTCATACTTAGTGTGACTACATATCCCAACAAAGAATGACTCACCATCAAATAATCATGTTCACACTCACCACTGTGTGACCACGGATCCAAAGAATGACTCACCATCAAATAATCATGCTCACACTCGCCACTCTGTGACTACAGATCCCAACAAAGAATGACTCACCATCAAATAATCATGCTCACACTCGCCACTCTGTGACTACAGATCCCAACAAAGAATGACTCACCATCAAATAATCATGTTCACACTCACCACTGAGTGACCACAGATCCAAAGAATGACTCACCATCAAATAATCATGTTCACACTCAACACTGTCTGCAATTTTGAACTGCTCTTCAAAATCCAAACGTATAGTCTTCCCAGGCAGTACTTCAACCTCCCAGCTACAGTTTTGATTGGCTGGATAGTTGCTAGGGTAACCATTGCTCTTGATGACTCCAGTTGCTGACTGCATGTAACCCCCACAACCTAAAGATGAGACAAGTTTTCCTTCTTACATGACAGGAGCATTTGCTGCTGGATTGCTCTCTTTCATAATTGTAAAAATACAAGCAGGTACATTTTTCCTTATTAATAAAGGAGTGAGACAGGGATGTGCCCACTTTCCTAGTAAATTAATTTAGTCAGTTTCTGTGTTTCTGCTCCATATTAGAGTACTCGTTTCAAATTTCTGAGAAGGCTAGTCAGGCACCCAATGTATGAAGAAGCTGGATGTGTAGGTCACAAGAAGCAAATACTGCAGTCAGGCTGTAAACAGGCACAACAAAATTACATCCTCGTATGAAACAAGAAGATTTTACATTTCAATTAAGCACTCAAAGTTGCCAAGCGAACTAGCTAGGTGGGTTCCAAAAGCTGCTTAACGACCATGTAACAAACTCTTTGTGGTTTGAGTTCACGCTCTGCGGTAGGCAGAGAAGCCACAGGTTTCCCAGCTTTAAGCTCTCTATCATGGAATCAAAGCCAAGGGTTGCTATATCCATAGAACTGAGCCGAATGGTTTACAACTCATGGTTTTTTTAATTAAAAAAAAAAAAAAAAAAACAGCTACTGAAAATGAAGAGGAAATTATGTCCATGCTTTAAAAACTGTTCAGCATTAGAAGAGGTAAAAAAAAATATAGGATTTTCAAAATGTTAAAAATCTGGCTGCAAGTAAACAAATAAATAAATCAAGAATTGACCTCACTGCACTCTTCTTTAGCAGCCAGTAAATAGTTTCCCTACTGGTGGTGTCAGCTGCAACATGATTAAAAGTCAGCCTGTCTTTTTCCCTGCGTGTTGAAAACTGCTTGATCTCCTGTTCTCTCGCTGCTGGATCAGTCTCCCAAGGTATGGATGCCCTCTGTATTCTAAGGTGTTGTTTACTTGATCTCTAGATGCCCTCTTTGTTCTGATGTGTTGTTTACTTGATCTCTGGATGCTTTCTTTGTTCTGATGAGTTGTTTACTTGATCTCTGGATGCTTTCTTTGTTCTTATGTGTTGTTTACTTGATCACTGGATTCTTTCTTTGTTCTGATGTGTTGTTGACTTGATCACTGGATGCTTTCTTTGTTCTAATGTTTTGTTTACTTGATCTCTGGATGCTTTCTTTTGTTCTGATGTTTACTTGATCTCTGGAAGCTTTCTTTATTCTGATGTGTTGTTTACTTGATCTCTGGATGCTTTCTTTGTTCTGATGAGTTGTTTACTTGATCTATGGATGCTTTCTTTGTTCTGATACGTTGTTTACTTGATCACTGGATGCTTTCTTTGTTCTTATGTGTTGTTTACTTGATCACTGGATGCTTTCTTTGTTCTGATGTTTTGTTTACTTGATCTCTGGATGCTTTCTTTGCTCTGATGTGTTGTTTACTTGATCTCGGAATGCTTTCTTTGTTCTAATGTGTTGTTTACTTGAGCTATGAATGCTTTCCTTGTTCTGATGTGTTGTTTATTTGATCTATGGATGCTTTCTTTGTTCTGATGTGTTGTTTACTTGATCTCTGGATGCCCTCTTTGTTCTGATGTGTTTACTTGATCTCTGGATGCTTTCTTTGTTCTGATGTGTTGTTTACTTGATCTCTGGATGCTTTTTTTGTTCTGATGTGTTGTTTACTTGATCTCTGGATGCCCTCTTTGTTCTGATGTGTTGTTTACTTGATCTTTGGATGATTTCTTTGTTCTAATGTGTTGTTTACTTGATCTCTGGATGCTTTCTTTGTTCTGATGTGTTGTTTACTTGATCTCTGGATGCTTTCTTTGTTCTGATGTGTTGTTTACTTGATCTCTGGATGCTTTCTTTGTTCTGATGTGTTGTTTACTTGATCTTTGGATGCTTTCTTTGTTTTGAAGTGTTGCTTACTTGATCAATGGATGCTTTCTTTGTTCTGATGTTTTGTTTACTTGATCTCTGGATGCTTTCTTTGTTCTGATGTGTTGTTTACTTGATCTCTGGATGCTTTCTTTGTTCTGATGTGTTGTTGCTTGAGCTCTGGATGCTTTCTCTGTTCTGATGTGTTGTTTACTTGATCTCTAGATGTCCTCTTTGTTCTGATGTGTTGTTTCCTTGATCTCTTGATGCTTTCTTTGTTCTGATGTGTTGTTTTCTTGATCTCTGGACCCTTTCTCTGTTCTGATGTGTTTTTACTTGATCTCTAGATGCTTTCTTTGTTCTGATGTGCTGTTTACTTGATCTCTGGATGCTTTCTTTGTTATGATGTGTTGTTTACTTGATCTCTGGATGCTTTCTTTGTTCGAATGTGCTGTTTACTTGATCTCTAGACCCTTTCTTTGTTCTGATGTGTTTTTTACTTGATCTCTAGATGCTTTCTTTGTTCTAATGTGCTTTTTACTTGATATCTGGACCCTTTCTTTGTTCTGGTGTGTTTTTACTTGATCTCTAGAAGCTTTCTTTGTTTTGATTTGTTTTTTTCTTGATCTCTGAACCCTTTCTTTGTTCTGATGTGTTTTTACTTGATCTCTAGAAGCTTTCTTTGTTTTGATTTGTTGTTTTCTTGATCTCTGGACCCTTTCTTTGTTCTGATG